CCAAAAAACCCTCTGATAAATGTAATCATTATTTATATCTAAAATGTACCAATAGGGCTGGTGAGATAGTTCAGCGGACTACCCACCTGCTTAGGCAAGCACAAGGACCGGGATTCCATCCCAGTCACCACAGGCCGCACCAGCCCTGCCCCTCTCCCCATCTGCACCCTGAGCTGGCCACCATCGCTGGGGAGGCTGAACACAGGAGGATTACAACTGAGCTGTGTACTGACCCTGTAATAAATACATAATAAAATGTACCAATAAAATTTAATTTAAAAAAAAATCCCAAGACTGGTGAATTGAGGAATAGTCTAAAATACAAAGACAGTTTTTTAGACTGGGCGTGGTAACAAATGCCTATAATCCCAGCTCCTGGGAGGCTCTAAACAGGCAGATCACTATGAATCTGATCTAGTAGTGAGACCCTGAACACCTGTAGACTCTTCCCTAAAAAAGTAAAATTGAAAAAAAGGAAATTTCTGGAGACAGGGTCTCACTATGTAGTACAGGATGGTCTTTTTTTTTTTTAAGAGAACCTATGTGATTAGTTTAGATATCATCAGTTTATTATAAAAGAGACATGGAAATTATATACATGATGAAAGACGCAGAACTTCAGTGGAATGGGCAGTGTTGTGTGGGCCACTTCAACAGTGATTTACTTCACTCTACATATTTTCCAAGAATGTCACCATCTCTAAACAAGAAATAATGCTTGTTGTCTAGAACTACTTTGGTGCCTCCATATTCTGGAAGAACTTTACCTCCAACTTTCACACTAACTGGTTGGATGTCTCCACCCTTCCCCTTGGAGCTGGACCCCACAGCTACCACAGTTGCCTGCAGCACTTTGCCTTGAGATTTTTCTGCAAGCATAATGCCTCCTCTGGTGACAGTTTCAGCTGCACTCCTTTCAACCAACACGTGGTCAAACAGCGGGAGAAACTTCCGAAATGCCTGTCCTGCCATGGCTCCTGCCCCGCAGCTTCCTTCACCACCACGCCCTACAGGATGGTCTTAAAGTCACTATGTGGTTCCGACTGGCCTTGAGCTTGTGATCTGCCTGCCTCAGGCTCATGACTGCTATGAATACTGGTTTGTGCTGCCATACCCAACAAGATCACTTAAATATTCTCAACAAAAGGGCAAATATTGACAATCCAAATTAAAAATACGATATTAGAGCTATACTGTAGAAAGTACTCATTTGTGGACAATGAAGATTTTTTTTTTTTTTTTTTTTGTGGAAGCGGGGATTGAACTCAGGCCCTTGCGCTTGCCAGGGAAGCGCTTATTCCACTGAGCCATCTCCCCGGCCCTAATGAAGATCTTTTGAACCTTCACACTCACTAGTATTTACTCCTATTAGGAGTTATTAACTTTTATGCAATGTTAGGGGTTGAACCAAAGCCTCACAAATCCTAAGGAAAAATTACACCACTCAGCCCTCAAGTGCTGGCATACACCTGTAATCCCAACACTCCAGAGACTGGGGGCCTGTGGGTTAGCTCAGTTGTTTAAGCGCCTGCTCAGGGGAAAAAGTCAGGTGCAAGGGGCCGCGGTTCAATCCCCAGCTCCACATGCCTTACCAGCCCCAGCCCCAAAAACAAATCCTTCCCAACACTCCAGAAGCTGAGGCAGGAGGATCACCAAGAGTTCAAGGTCAGCCTGACTACTTAGTTGAGACCCTGTAGACTATACTGAGCTACACCCCAGCCATGAGTTAGAACCTTTACACAGAAAGACCTCAGCATGCCTGCAGCAGCCATAACACTCAAATTCAGAAGTGGGAACTGTACAGGCATTGTAACAATTATGCAGATGCCATTTATTTGGTCCATAGTACAGTATATTCGTTAATTTGAGTTTTACAAAACATCAAATATAAATAACCTGAAATTGTAACAATACACAAAAATTGGCTTCTTACACAGACATATCAGGCAGTAAAAACTGAAAATCTGAGTAAATTAACATTGTTTTACAATAATATACATAGCGCCATTTAACATTTAAAAACAGGTTTCAATGCATAGCACTTGATATTTCTTTGAATCTTTCTCAGTTAAGAGTATGAAAATGGTTAGATCTAGGCTAAAAATAATTCTTCTTCTAGCCAAAAATAAAGGCATAATATTTATAACCAGGTATCAACTTTACTAAACCACAATATTTTTAAACTATTAAATGATACCTAAGGGTATTTACATTAAAAAGGCAACATGCATTGTGTTGTTTTATCTCTCAACTGGTTATGCACAGTTTGTTCAAAGGGTTTAAAAACTATATTCCTACTTTCAATACAGCATACTGCAATGTTTCTAATAGCTCTAGCAAAATGAATGCTTTCAAAGGGAGCAGAATCACTTTCAAGTCACTGGTGTCAACATTTTCCCTTTGGAACAAAGGATGTAACAAATGGGCTGTGCCCAGATGAGCCGACAGGGCAATGGTTTCTTTTCAATCTAAGGCTATGACATCGTCAAGGTCTTCCCGCTGTTCCATTCGAGACCTCTTCACACTGATGTTCTCTTTTTCATCTAACTTCCTCTTGCGATTTCTCTCATCATCGTTGTTAGCATTATTTGAAGGACCTTCTTCATCTGAGTCAACTATGAGCACATCATCTTGCTCTTGCGCTTATTTCAGAAAAAAGGAAAAAATGGTTAAAAGTGTGGGAGTTATTAGTAGCTCACCAATAATTAACATACAACTTAAAGGTAACTCTTTGACTATACCAAACTGAAGGCTACTGCTACCCTTACAGAACCTTCACATATCATGTATTTAGCGCTGAACTATTTAAATGGGTTTTTTTTTGCTTTTTTTTTCTTTTGGTGGAACCGGGGATTGAACTCAGGCCCTTGCACTTGCCAGGGAAGTGCTTATTCTGCTGAGCCATCTCCCCGGCCCCTATTTAAATGTTTTTATACAACAAGCACCGATTTTTTCTTTTTTTGGGGGGTTACTGAGAACTGAATCAAGGACAAAGATCTATCTCTTTCTTTTCTAGGCAAAACGAAGAACAACAAGCATTACCTAACTCAAAAGAATCATGTTTCACTGATTTTCCAACCTGAAAATGGAAGATGAATATCCTCATAGCAACTGAAATAAACATCAACAATAAGAGTAACAAAAGAGTTCTTACAAGGTTGGTGAGATGGCTCAGTGGTCTAAAGCATCTACTTAGAACAAGCTTAGCAAAGCACAGGGACCATGGTTCAATCTCCCAGCACCACATGCCGGCCAGCCCCGCCCCCTGGTGGGCTGAGCTGGCCACACACACACATAATTAAAAAAAAAAAAAAGTTCTTACAATGTGCCAGGAACTGTTCTGACCACTAGGCATATAATAACTCATTTCATCATGACAACTCTAGAAAGAAGAGCCACATTATTATCCATTTTTCCACCAAGGTACAGAAAAAGGTAGAAGATATATATAAAGAGAAATACATCCATATATGTATATATAGATATATATCCCTCTATCTATATATGCAGAGGGTAAGTCTTGGATTCAAAACCACTTAGTAGGGCCCCAAATTTTATATTCTGAATCTTACACTAAAGGGAGTTCTGTTTGTTTTTGGCGGAACTGGGGATTGAACTCAGGCCCTTGCGCTTGCCAGGGAAGTGCTTAGTACACTGAGCCATCTCCCTGACCCACTAAAGGGAGTTTCATTCTCTCCCCACCATGCAAAAATCAAAAGCAGCATATTTATGCATATTTATTTTATTTCTATATAGTCTTGGAATCCTATGCAGAACAGACCAGTATATGACTAAAAAAAAAAAAAACACCATTATATGTCTATTTTAAATTATGATTAAAAACTACCAGAGGGCTGGCCAGATAGCTCAACAGATTAAATTGCCTGCTTAGGCAGACACAGGGATTGGGCTCAATACCCAGTGTGCTGTGCCAGCCTGCTCCCGTGGCGCACTAAGCCACGATTGAAACTGGACATGGTGACACACCTGTAATCCCAGTGCTCATGAAGCTTAAAACAGGAGGATCACTATGAGTCTAATCTGTGTAGTGAGACCCTGTAGACCCTGTACTAAATACATAAAATAAAATAATAAAAACTACCAGAGCAGCCTCAAAAAAGACTGTTTCAATGGAGGGAAAAGGTCACAAACCAACAGTCCATGGGACAGCCATACTCCACATTCCCCAAGTCCACCCCCCAAAACTTTCAGAGAACACCAGAATCAAGAATAAACATATCACAAATAATGCCACAGACAGAAAGGGGGTAGGGGGGTGAGGGGAAGTTAAGGAAATGGAAATAAGTTAAAAAAGTGGTAGCCTTTAGTTTGCTGAATAAAAAATGTAGGGGAGGGAAATAAACACCCAAATCAGACCACAGTAAACAATCAGTTGTTTGGAAAAGCACCAAGTACTAGGACTGACCCTCCACTTTACCAAAGTCATACTTTGGCTTACTGGAAAACTCTGAAGTGCTTCAAGTCCATACTTACCAAGCATCTACTCCCTCAATGGTCAGATGCATTGACTTGTTGCTCCTAAATGAAAGAGGCACAGCCTACTCTGTAGACAGAACTCACTTTATACACTAGCAAACTCACTGACATTTTCAGTCATAAAAATCAACATAAAATAACAAAGGGCTTTTATTTCCTCTAAGAATTCCCCTCAGTCTTAAATGTGTCCATGGGTCTTATACTCAAAGCCCACTGCAAAATTCATTACTAACCAACACATAATCCTACTATTTTTATGTATTTCTATCTAATAATCAGCATTCAAAATGTAACCACAAATTGTTACATTCAAAAATGTAACCACAATTGTTTCTACATACTTGTGCTTTGTGGGTGATGAACTAATTATCTGCTGGCTGGGCCAGGACTTACCTGTGGAGGTGGAAGGCTGGGCTCCGTCATCACTGCCGTTAGTTATGCTTTTAGCAGTGTCTTCTGCTTGTTTGGGCCCTACTTTATCTGGGGCATCACCAACAACTTCAAATTCAACATCCTTCCCTAGGTCTTCACTGTAATGAGAACCACATACTATAAAATAGGTCTACTGTTACGACTACATAGCAAAGGAGCAATCAGACATTATTCTTCTTTTTTTTGGCTGAACTGGGGATTGAATTCAGGCGCTTGTGCTTGCCAGGCAAGTGCTTATTCCACTGAGCCATCTCCCCGGCCCCCAGACATTACTCTTCAAAACTCAATGTATACACTATCTTCATACCACATAGTTTAAATTCTGCTTAAAAAAAAAAAAAAAAGAGCGTGACACACACCTGTAACCCCAGCACTTGGGAGGATGAGGCAGGAGGACTGGTGTGAGTTCAAGACCAGCCAGGCTAAAGCAAGCTCCATGCCAACCTGAACTTTTGAGCAAGATTTGTCTCAAAAAGACAAAACGGGGCTGGGGATATGATTCAGTAGAATAAGTGCTTGCCTGGCAAGCGCAAGAGCCTGAGTTCAATCCCTGGTTCCGCAAAAAAAAAAAAAAAAAAGTCCCAAGTTCAATGCCTGGTTACCAACATACCCCAAAAAACCCAATGTGGTATTTTCACTTTACTGCAGACATCTTTTCATGTCTTTTCTTTCATTAGTGAGATGAACAATCAGTGAAGTCTACATAACTATGTGAAACTTACACATCCACTAATAACCCCCATTTAGCCTTTTTTTTTTTTTGGTGGTATCAAGGCTTGAACTTGGGACCTTGTACTTGCCAGGCAGGTGCTTAAGCCACTGAGCTATTTTCCCAGCCCCTCTCATTTAGTCTTTTATTGTTCCTTTTTTGTGTACGAGGAATCCCTCTACTGTCATTGAATACTTTTTAAGAAGTACAAAGGGGCTGGAGAGATGGCTCAGTGGTCTAAAGCACCTATTTGGAACAAGCTTGGAAAAGCACAGGGACC